TATATAATAGTTAATACGTATTTAATGTATCAAACTCAAGTATAGTATTCTAATTATTAAAACAAAATAAAAATGTGAATTAAAATCAATAGACCTAAAATTTTTCAAGTAGTTATTTTATTTTTGAATTTTTGTTGAATGATACAATCATTTCAAAATATATAACAAAATATGGTTTAAATAAAGCATGTCCATAAAAACAAAATATCACATATTCAAAACATTTATTAATTTGACTATAAGCATTTTTACTGGATGTAGGTATATGAATGGCATATTCGAAAAAAATGCAAATACTTAAATGTCTCGTACACTGACAAACTTTTTACGTATAAAAAATAAGCTCGGGAATCTGTCCATCTTCGATCGAAGTACCATTATTTTCGCCAGCTTCGTAATTGAAGGAAAACAATACTTTTCCGTGTTTAGATCCACAGTCAACGGTAACACGTCTCAGTCCTTTGGTGCCGTAGTACGAATCTGGACCCTAAAATATTATTTTTGTTGACGATTTGAAAATAACTAAACAGTAATTTTTCTGTACAGAGGAAAAAATGGCATATAGTTACTGAAAAAGTCGCAGAAGCTGTATAAATGGTATTTGGTAGAATTTCGACTGGCTCTTTAAATATCAAGCGGTAAGTGTAGTTCGAGCCATCGCAATTGAAGCTAGTCTGATTTTTAGATATCACTTTACCAGATGCAGTGTGAATCAGTTCAATCAGGACCTCATACTCAGCCGGACCAAATACACTACCGTAAACTCCATAGCCTACTAAAAATATTCGCCTATCGACACAAAATCTAAAATTGTGTGAAAAAAATATTCATCCAATCAACTCCAAAATTTATCCAATCAACTCGAAAACGACATTACGAAAAATTCATGTCAAGCGATGTCTATCTTACCTTATTCTATCACTAGTGCCATTGTATCCCCAGCGCTCCGAAGCCGTTTGCTGAAATCGACAAACGGTTTGTTCCTTGCCCATCATCAGGCATCGCGGCATAGCCTCGAACCCGACTCTCGGTTTTGGATTAAGAGTAAAGTAAAGAAATATCGAAACGATTTCACGGTCAGTTAGTAGTCCAGACTGAGCTGGGCCACTAGCAAACTCCTCCATTGACATAAGCGGAAAACGAACTAAAGAAATAGCTTTACCTAAAAAGGATCTCTGATTATCCGGTGTAACTGGCAACTGTTGCCTGACACATTCTGCCTCTGACCACCTACAATCAATATATAATGAAATCAAAATCCGCCAAAACGTAAGAAAAATTATAGGCTCGAATATATTATTACACTGACCTGACTACAGCTTGAAAAATTTTCAGTTCTCTGACGCGCAACGTGTCCCGCTCCAAAACAGTAATAAGTGTGTCTATGTCGATATCCGTAAAGCCATCGGCATTGAGCGCCTCAGTCGTAAACTTGTCGATCGTATCGAGACAGACTGCAGCGAGCTGCGGCTCGTCAAAGAGTCGAGCTTGCGCCAGCAGCAAAAATGCATTGTCGGTCGTTAGATTACTCCTCAGATAATCGACGCAATGTTTCTCCAAAGAAGACACGGCGTATTTCTTGGCGGTGTAGAGGGTCGTCATAACAGTGTCGGGATTGATTAGCAGCTCATCAGTGTAGAGATAGAGCAAAACAGCCAGAAAAGTCTCGGGCTCGACATCAGGTACTTCGATTTCGTCTGACGAGGTGGCCAAGGTGCCGTTAAACATGGCATCGAAAACAGCACTGCCAGATGACAGGACGAGCTTGTGAGCTGGAATTATGCGCTTCTGTGTGCCTACGCGAAATCTCACGTCCGAGAGGATGTGGTTGTTAAAGAGGAAAGCGAAACGCTCACGCATCGTTGCCTTGCTGCCTTGCCAGTTGTACTCACGTGGCGTTGTAGAACTTGATGCCCCATTTTCCAATGGAATACTGATACGAGATCTTGTTTCAGGCCTTGAGACAATTGCTGAGTTGCTAGGTGGCCTACTATAAATTAAAAAATTTTATCTTTAGTTCTACAGCACACATGAAAGTTATAACTAAAATAAACAAGACTACTTACTTATCATAGTTTGAAGTAGAAGGTTCACCACTTCTGGGACCAACAGATGCTTGCTCTTCATCAGATACAAAGGTGACAGCCCTTCTAGCTCTGTTCAGCATAAAGTTGCCAGCTGGTTGCATGTTTTGAGGTGAATTGTTGAAAGCTTCTGCATTTTCGACTTCAGATGGACCCGCAAGAGCCTCATCTGCTCCTGGATCTTCGTGAATTAGCCTTAAATTACTCAACCTGGCAGATGCATTTGACACATCATCTGAGCTCTGCTCTGCAGACATTTTTACACACAACAGCTTCAATACTTGCTTGAGCCAGTGATGTCCTGCTCTCAGTTTTAATACTAATTGTGGATCAAAAATGTTTTTTTCTCTGCATTTTCTCCTTGGCTGACACTTTTTTCAATAGCAACACACAATTGTAAACAAAACTTGACAAGACTACAGACAACTAACGAATTCTGAAATGTGACCAAGCGTAACTAAAAAAAAACACTAAGTACGACAACAATTCAACAAAGTCTTTGAATAAACTTATCAAGTGTTTATAAACGCAATAAAACGCACGATAAACAACACAACTTGATGTTCTGGCAAATGATCAGCTGAGAAGCTGATTACTACTTAATTTTCTTTTAATACATGGGGTTGAGATGAAACAATTCATAAAGTTGCACTTTGTAATAATAATTAAGTATAAATTGTTCTATTATTAATGAGTAAACAACTTAGCAGTTAGCAAAAGTTATACGTGATATGAAGATACACACACATACGATTTCGTCTCCTCTTTACTAACCTAAGCTGAAGGCTGCAGCGCTTCGTCGTATATATAATAGTTCGTAGATAAAGTAGGTCACTTGGTGTCAATACACACTTGAAAATTTTTAGTGAGTGAAATTAAAATAATACCCATGCACAAGAAGTGTTTATTATCCTGTGGTCTGTAGATAATTATCTTAAAATATACAAACAATTGTGGAAATCAGTAAAAAATTTTACCTTGAAAATATGCTCTGCAACTGTGAAGATTATTTTCGTGAAGATGGCAATACCTTTTTGCTTTCGGTTGTCATTGACGCTAGCTAATGTTGACAAGCGGTTATTAATTTAGATGGGTAATTTTATTATTTTGTATCTAAATTTTTGTAAATAATGTATTTATGTAAACTGATCAGGAACAATGTGTACTAGAGAAAATGATCAAATAATTCAAATTTCATTATGTTCTATTGTTTCATTTGTTTTGATAATTTATTTTGGCATATAGACGTCAGCGAATTGTGTTTTACAGAGAGTAAAAGTTGTTTTTCAATTTTGTCTTGTCGAGTTATTTCATTGATGTATAAGATGATGGCAACGTTACCAAGGCTCACAAAGATTCTGCAATGTGTGTGTGGTCAAAAATATTTCTGGAAATCAATGAAAACAATGTCAGTACGTGATGCACTCAACACAGCAATGGATGAAGAACTGGCAAGAGACGAAAAGGTATTTATTATTGGAGAAGAAGTGGCTCAGTATAATGGACCCTACAAGGTTACCAAGGGTCTATGGAAAAAGTATGGGGATAAAAGAGTCATCGACACTCCAATAACAGAAGCTGGATTTTGTGGAATAGCAGTTGGAGCAGCTATTGCTGGGCTAAAGCCTATCTGTGAATTCATGACCTTCAACTTTTCTTTGCAAGCCGTTGATAGGATTATCAATGGTGCTGCAAAGAATTTTTACATGTCAGCAGGAACATTACCAGTACCCATTGTTTTTCGAGGACCAAATGGCAATGCTAAGGGTCTTGGAGCCCAGCACTCGCAGTGCTTTGCAGCTTGGTACATGCATATACCAGGATTAAAAGTCATGTCTCCATCAACTTCCGAAGATTATAGAGGATGTCTCAAGGCTGCTGTGAGGGACCCTGATCCTTGTGTAATTTTGGAGAGTGAAGTGCTCTATGGCATGGAGTTCCCCATTACAGATCAGGCACTTGATCAGGATTTTGTAATACCTATTGGTAAAGCGAAAATTGAGAAGCCTGGTAAACACATAACTTTGGTAACTCATGGACAAGCTACTTTCTATACCATGAAAGCAGCAGAGACTCTTGCTAGTGAAGGGATTGAGGCTGAGGTCATTAATTTGAGATCGTTGAGGCCCGTTGATTGGGAGGCTGTTTTCAAATCTATTGGAAAAACTCACAGGCTCATGACTGTTGAGTTGGGATGGCCAAGGTGCTGCGTTGGATCTGAGATCGTGGCAACAGTAATGGAGAATCCAGTATTCTTCCAACTGGATTCACCAGCTGTAAGATGCACCGGGGTTGATGTACCTATGCCTTACTCAGAAAAAATTGAATATGAATGCACACCCAAAGATCATCACATTGCAGAATATGCCAAGAAAGTTTGTGGAACTAAAATTTAATCGGAGCTGAATTGTTGAGATTTGAATTGTTTGATTATGTAGTACATCAACAGCATAAGATGTTTTGTTGGTTTGAGAAAATTTTTCTAATTTTTTTTTACCTATTTCAGATAATAAAATTAATTAATTAACTAAACAATAGAATGAAGCCGAGAAAAAAGACTTTAGACATAGGTAAACAGCCATGACTTCAATCTTATAAATACTAATGAATGTTATTAATCTCGCTATAACAAAAATAATATTCCAGATGAATGCCAAATTTCTAAAGGAAAATGTATACAGCAAAGCACAAGGTATACTGGTTCGCAATAGCATCACGCAGCCTCATTCTCCTACTGCAAATGGTCTTCAACTTGCTCTGCCCAGACCACAATGCTGACGCGTTCCGGACTCCCATAGATTCGACTGAGAAACAATACTTTTTCGACAGACTCGTAAAATTCTTCTTTGAAGGTTTGACTCGATGGGATGCCCAATATTTTATTCACATAGCCAAGTATGGCTACACTTACGAGAACACGCTGGCGTTCTTTCCACTATACCCATGGCTCGTCAGATTCGTTGCAGGGCTTGCACCACCGACCCTCAACCAAAGCAGTACTATCATACTAGCCGGCATCGTGATAAACTTTGTGTGCTTCGTTAAATTAGCCCTCATCCTCTATGATCTCACTGATAATGTGTTTCAGAACACCAAGGTAGCCTACCGCTCCGCCATACTGTTCTGCATCAATCCGGCCAGTGTGTTCTTTAGCGCACTTTATACAGAAACTTTATTCGCCTTCCTCACCTTTTACTGCATGCTCGAGAGTGTCAACAATAATCCATGTGTCTTTTTGCCACTCAGTCTTTCTACGCTAGTCAGATCCAATGGGCTGGTCAATACTGGCTTTCCTGCCTACACATGGCTGAGAAGTCTTTTAGTCACCTCAATACCAAATTATGTAACAGAATATCGGTTGTACCATTCGAACAAGCGATCTGTACTCTTCGACTTTCGACACATCTTTCTCAGTATATTTCAAATCTTCACGACCATTTTCGTGTCCTTATTGCCATTTTTGGGGTTGCAGATACACTATTATGCGCTGTATTGCAAGACAGAAGCGAACGCAACGTTTCCATATCACGTACAGAAGTACGCTTTGGATAACGATCTCTTAATGCCAGGCCGGCATGAGTTTGCGTGGTGCAACAACAAGATGCCGATAGCTTACTCTTACGTACAGAGCAAATATTGGAACGTAGGTTTTCTAAAGTATTACGAGTTTAAGCAGATACCAAATTTCTGTCTAGCTCTGCCAGCACTGTACTTAATGTTAAGATGTATACTAGGCTTTTTTATAGAGCACAAATCAAAATTTTTCACTCTTGAGTTTTATACTGGTATAGCCAAAAAACGAAAATCCAACGAAAGGTATCCGCTGGCGATGTTCGTTTTTGTAGTGCACGCAGCATTTCTCACTCTATTCTGCATCTTATTTGTGCACATCCAAGTGAGTACAAGGCTGTTGTGCTCAGCTACTCCTCTGCTGTACTGGTATTGTGCCTTGTTAACTCTAGAGAAGGATGAAGCGTCGAAGGGTATCAAGGAACCGGAGTTTGAAAGTACAGAGAATATGTTTTCAAAATGGAAAGTATTCTTCATAACACAACAGTCTTACACAAAAAGTGAAAAATTTGTCTATAGGTACTTCTTGGGGTATACTGTTCTTGGATGCCTTATGTTTGCAAATTTTTATCCCTGGACTTGAGTGCACAATATTTTATTGATATTTTCTGATCAAGAAACGCACGAATTTTTGTACTTCAAAATAGCTACAATAAAAAGATATTTAAAAAACCAATTGATAGTTGTTACTTAACTTTTGTAAATTAATTGATTATTGATTTTTCTAAAGTATATTCTCAAGACTTCTTTTAAAAACATTTTAAAGGTTTGACGATAAAATTATATGTACAGTTGAATGGCTTTACTTAATCAGTGTATACAATAATTCAAACAGCAGTTAACAAATTTAAACTTCATGTTGTTTCCTGTGCCTTAAAACTTCTGTAGGTGCAAGATACAACGTTTTTTGACACTTGGGGCAATCATAAGCAACTGTATTCTTTTTTCTCGACTCTGGTAACGATTTGGCTTTGTTTACTACAAACTCCTCTTTTTTACAAGAACTCATGTGCTGTAGTTTTTCAAGACTCGACAGCATGCCTTGGAAATCACAGATATTGCAGGTCCATTCCATTTCAAGCATTTCACACGCCACTTTATCGCTCCAATCACTCTCCACTAAACTGAAAGAGAAACCGTAACATTTTCGATTGGTAGAAAAGCATAAAAAATGAATTATTTGTAAAAAGTTGTAGAATGGCTTACCAATTAAAAGTAATGTATTTTGAAGCGCGCATACCACCTTTTTTCTCGTGCGGTACACATTCAAAATCAACTGAAAATGGATTCGGTTGTAAAACTGCTGAATTTTCTTCTTTTCCAACGTAAATATTTTTTAAATCCGCAGCCAACAAACGTTTTATCGTATACGGCACAGACGTGTGCATGAAGTCGACAAGGCCTTTGCTAAGCTCATACTCCAATTCTTCAATATTTTCTTCTTTGCTCTCAGCTGGTAAATCTTCTGGAAGCGAATTTTTAATAAGAGATTCTTAAATATTTTATAATTTGAATGGTAAAATAAATTTTTTACCTTGCAGTTGTAAATTTAAAAGATTATCCCACATTTGTCGCAGTTTGGATACTTTTAATAAAAGAATCCCTCCACTGTCAGGAGTGGGAAAATCTAAGGACAACCATGAGTCGCAAACGAGACTGGAATAAATTGTATAGTATTATGAGTTAGTAAAATAATCAATCAAAATCTTTGAATGATTAACAGCGAGGGATCGCATAAAAATTACTTACGTTGTAAACGTGGAATTAGTATCGATTTCTTGTGATAGTAAAAGTAACGTTTGGGCAGCAGGCATTCTGAGAGTATTAACCAAATATGGTTTTGTAGTTTCTAATAATGATCTAGAAACAGATGAACAAAAAACCTATCTTGTAAGCTTGTTTTATATATTATTATATTAATTACGAAAAGTATTACACACAAATATACTAAAATTTGATGTTTCGGGCTGACTGGAGTTTTAGACTTGTATCCTGGAATAGTAACAATATCTGGTTCTTCAAGCTGTAACACTTGTGGATGAACGCCAAAAAAACTCATAGGATGCAGAGCCACGAATGGCTTGACTTTGGTATGAAACAGTTGTTCGTTGACAGTCTGTAGATGAATATAACGATTTAATGTCCACACCAACGAAATACGTAAATGAACTCGTATTCAATAAAAAATATACCTTGCAATAATTAAATTCGTCAGCGATAGCTAATTGAGGGTACAAACCACTGCACAGGATCAGCTTCAGCATCATCAGATCCTTGTAACTGCAGGCCATCGAGGCTGTCACTAAATTGCTGATGCGTGAAAAGTCATTTTTCATTCTAAACTCAATGTCTTTTATGTCAATCTCCTCGTCTTCCTTATCGTCCTCGATTCTTATGTTGTCATCGTCCATTTTCAATTGTTTCCGCTTTCTGGACGAATCACTCTGCTTGTAAGATCTCTTTAAGGATCGCAACAGTTTCAACTCTCCGTGTCTTATAATTCGCTCTGAACTTGTCATTTCAGAATCAGTTTCCGAGAACCGCAACATTTTACATTCCTTAAATCGGCATAAAAACGGATGAGTCGCTTTAAAATATCAATGTGCATTTTGCGTTTGGGATACTATTTGTAGCTTACTTGAAGTAAATCCTTGAACTGATTGCGCAATTTCGTCATCTCATAGAATCTCTGCTCTTCCAATCCCCTTCTCCTGCACCACTTTTTACTCGCACTGCTACCAGAGCGTACCTCTCCACCATTTTCGTGTTTTATTTCCAACCATTCTCTGTAAGCATTTAGCAGAGTTATTGGGTCGCCGTGATCCGATTCCAAATTTTTTCTTGATGACTAAAATTATTCAATACATTAAAAAAAAGTTCCTTTAAGAAAACTGTCTGAATTTACTTACCTCACAATCTAAATCTCTGTAGGCTTTATTCGTAAAAGGATTCTGAACACTGAGAGCTGCTGCCAGAGATAACGAAGGCTCGATTTGATGGAACAACGAGCCCATGATTAGCATTTTACCGATTGTTATGTCTACTGGTAGCTTTGCTAAAGTTTTTCCAATGCTAGTTAATTTTTCGTTTTCCGTCAAGGCACCCTAATTAAATTTTTCAAGTAAATTATTTCTTATAAACATGTTTAAAACTTTATGTATACTAACGTGTTCTTTTAATGATAAAATCGAATTTTCTATGCTTTCTGCCGGAGGAGGCTCGATGAATGGAAATTTACGCGGATCTGGCAAGCCCATGGCAATCATTTGAAGCAAAGATGAATCGAGTGGTACCCTTTGTAACTCTGGCGTCGAGTATTTTTCAAATGCCGAAAAGTCGTCGCTTGAAAAAAGCCTAAAACATATTTTATTTTGTAATATAAAGTTACCTATATACAATTATGCTTTGTTTCGACCAAAAATATTATTACCGGTAACAAACTCCTGGCCCTGTTCTTCCCGCCCTTCCTTTTCTTTGCTCAGCACTTGCTTTACTGATCCAGAATTCTTTCAATCTTTGCATCTTGCAAATAGGATCATAACTCATCTCTTTAACTTTTCCACTGTCGACAACGAATCGTATTCCGTCAATGGTGATCGATGTTTCGGCGATGTTTGTCGACACGATGCATTTTCGCACTCCATCAGGAGCATAGCCAAACACCTAACAAGCATACAGAGTTTAAAGAAAAAATCAAGCAATTTTTTGATCACGGCTTACCTTGTCCTGTTCGGCTATAGATAGCGTACTGTGCAAAGGTAAAATAATCCAATTGTTGTCTTTTTTGCTGTATTCCTTGGCAGCATCCACTACTGCTGTGATCTCACTCATACCGCTCAAAAATATAAGTAAATCACCTCTTTCGGTCTCTGAAATTAAAAATTTTTTTTTTTAACTAAAACTTTACTGATTTAATAGAAATTTGTCGATTATTTCTCACTTTGGTATTTTCGGTCGATTATTTGCATTATCTGAATGTAAGGACTAGGATTGAACCTTTCAGTTTTAGAGTATTTATCCTCGATAAGCACAGGTTTATAAATTAATTCAATGGGATACAGTCTTCCAGGCACCTGTATACAAATCATTTAATTATGAAGATAAAAATATTCCATAGTTCATGAAAAAAGTTTGCTTGATTTTGCTCACTTGAATCACTTTAACATCTTCATTAGCAAAGTAATTACTAAAAAGTTCGATATTAATTGTAGCTGACATCAGAACCAACTTGATGTCACTTCTTTGATGAATCAGACATTTCATGATGCCCAGCAAGAAATCGCCGTGCAAATGTCGTTCGTGAACTTCGTCCAAAACAACGACATCATATTGAGAAAGTTCTGCTTCACCAGCAATCTATTATTTCACATATCATTAACGTGAATGGGATGATTTTACAAGCTAAAGTATTATGTCAAAAGTAGTGCTTACCTGTCGTAGAAGAAGACCCTCCGTTATGAAAGTAATTTTTGTATCCTGTCCTTTTTGCTTTTCAAATCTTATTTGATAACCAACTTCATTTTTATTTTCAGTCAATGTTTCATAAGCAACACGTTTTGCCAATGATATACAAGCAATCCTACGTGGTTGTGTGCAAGCTGGAAAAATTTTATCTTTCTAATATCTTCACTTGAATAAGTAACAAAAAAATTATTACTTTTATGCTTACCTATCCTACCAAATCCAGCAGTGTAAAGGTACTGAGGCAGTTGAGTTGATTTTCCACAACCAGTGTCACCAGCAATAATAACAACTCTTTCACTTCGGACAGCTTCAAGTATTTCATCCTTGAACTGAGCAACAGGTAAGTTTTTCTGTTCATTCCTCAATTTTTTCAACTTGTAGAATGTTTCTGTTTGCTTATAATCCAAATAAAACATTATTATTTCTTTAAACTCACGAAGCCTGTCTTCGGTCAGCTCTTTATTTTCTCGGACTCTTATAAATAATTCTCTGCTACGATAATTAAGAAAAAAGTTTAATCTGTGTAACCTATCATAAGAATCTGGGACTCCAATTTTGTTTACACTGTATAAAGGATTTCTTTTTCGTTTCAACTCATTCTGTGTTGTTTCAAACAATTTAACAAACAGCCAGAAATCGTTAGTATCGTCAACCAGATTGAAACTTGAAAAAACGTAATTCAAATCGTGCTTATATTTTAAATAAGTAAAGGTCTCTTCCTCTTCTTCAAAACTTTCAGAATCTTTTCTTTTTTCATGCTTCCTACTACAGTCCAAGTCTTGTTTTGATGATCCAGGTCCTGAGTTTGCATAATCTTTTGTTTCCCTTGACCTACAACTAAAATCTGGTTTGTCCTTATTTTTGGGTTCATCAATTTCGTCTCTATTTTGTTGTACATAGCTAAACGAATCTGCATTAAGATTTATCATAAAATTATCTTTGGCTGTGCTTGTTATTGCTCTCATAGATTTGCCGTAATTTTGTTTCGTTTTAGAACTCCTAGTGTTACTGTCTGATGATGACGATGAGGATGAAACAGATCTGTGCTTTCTTTTCGTGTGTTTTACATTATTCTCGGATGACGAAGAAGAAGAAGAGCTGTGCCTGCGTTTTTTTTTCTTATGCTTCTCCTTTTTACGTTTTCTTTTTTCTTTTTTAGATCGACTGTGGTGTTTCTTGTGTTTTCCCATATTTTATGCTTCAAAAGTATCTTGTTGTATCACAGAATCTAGTAATAAATAATTTTATTGCTCACTGACTCCGAAAATTCAAGAAACTATGCGTGTTGACACTCGACACTGTTACTGTTAACCTTGGTATTGAAAGTAAACACTTAAAAAAAAAAAAAAAAACTATTAACAATTTTTTCACCTCCATATACACACATCATTTATAAACATTTTGCACGGACTGTAGAAAATCCCATATTATTTCAATCTGATTTCAATGAAGGTTATATTTATATTAGAGCCGGCGGAGTATGGAGCGTATTTTCGTCTAGCAAACGTCCGAACGAGAGCACCCACGTGACAAAGATAAGAAACATGCCTGCTTTGCCAGTGGCAAATTGCCACCCGAGTACCCTCACAGTACCTTGATTCGCAAACCGCGAAGTTTGAATTCTTGAAGTAATTTATCGTATTAAAACACGAGGAACAACTATAACCATGAAATAAGAATATAATGATAAACAACTATCATATTAATAACTATTGAACAATGTTAAAATCATATTTTATGTTTATTTGTCATAAAAAAATTTAAGATTTCAAACTTCGCGGTTTGCGAATCAAGGTACGGCGAGTGTACATCATGATGCATAAAGCACGACGCACTTTTTTCAAAAATTGTATTTCAGATGTCAAAGAAAATTGTTGTGGAAATGAGCCAAAGAATTCAAAGTCATGAAAAGAAGAAAAAAAGGAACAAAAAGCCCATGATTAGCATTTTACCGATTGTTATGTCTACTGGTAGCTTTGCTAAAGTTTTTCCAATGCTAGTNTACTTTTCTCCATTGCTTCAATTATGCACTCGCATTACGCACGGTACAAATTACTACTCTTGGTTTCATGCTTTCTCAGTGAAAAAAAAAAAAAAAAAAAAAAAAAAAAACTAAGTACATGCAAATACTTAATTATTATTTTTTCACTCAATCATTAGCCTTATTTTCTATGAAAATATAGAGAAGCTTTAGATATATGTTTAGCGACCTCAATAAAATAAAAACCGACTAAACTGAATAGTTGCAAACTGTTATAGGTACACATTACGTTTACAGCATCATTTGACAATCCATGTGTATTTTATTGTTTCTAACAATGCATTACATTCCACTATTCAATGGTGCATTTATTTGTGTTACTATTTAATTATGAGACAAACTATAATGTGCATATATTATATGCTACGTACTCAAGCACGCGTTGCACGATGAAAAGCTCTAGTTTTATCGTGTGTGTACATACAACATATTATACCCATAGTTTCAGCTCAGGAGCGTCTATCAATTAGACACTTAGGCAAGCAAATTCACGCTAACCTTGCCATTATTTTATCAAAGGTTGTCGGTATACAATGTAGGTATATATGCGTATCGTAAATTTTCGAGGCTGTCTCTGTACAGCTAGAAAGTTAATTAAGCGCTGTGGTTCATCCTGTTCCCTTTCTATTGGCAGGCTATTTCATCAAGCTCGAGGATGTATCTATATAACATGGATATGAATATCCGTAGCGCACGAAAGAGCTTCTCTTGTGCATCATTTTCCACGGAAGTTTGATGCCGTAAACAAAGTTCAAGGGCATCTTTTATTTATACACTCGTATGGTCCGTCGTCATTGTCGAGCTTACGATAATTGCTTGACAAAGCGTGTCCAATTAACCATATGCATGGGGCGACTTGCGTGCGCGCTTTGTTTTTCTATTTTTTCTTCTTCTATCGATACCTGAGTTGTTCTGCAGTTGGGCATTTAAACTAAATCCGCCGAAGGGCGTCTTCCTTTCAGTTTTCTCAAAAGTACATGAAAATTCAATGTTTTCTCGCTCGAAAAGCTCGAAAGCTCTCAGGTCACTATTTTCCCGCTCAGTAAATTATAGACGCGTCACGCAAATTTGAATTATCATAGCTTGTTTTTCTTTCGTGAATTCCATTGCCAAGGTTGGTTCAGGGATGAATGATATGGCGAAAGAGGGAGGAAATTGAAATAGAAATTGAATCATGAGCAGTGCTTTCGTGGCTTAATCACTTTTACGTAATGATGGTCATATAGGGCTTCCCCGAATAATTTCTTTGATTTTTTTTTTATTAAAATAAAAAGGGACATCCCATAATATTACCCAACGAAGATGCACAACAAATTGTAATCAGAGCAAGCGAATCTGCATCACAAATAGTCTTGATGGGGTGGTGTGGACAGCTTTATAACGCACTCCCTGTAAAGTTTTTGCCCTATTTAGATAAAAAATTAGAAGGTCGATGTGTACGTATGGGTTTCCTGACACAAGAATAACGTAAAATTATACCTATGTACAAAACCAGCATGTCTCTTTTGACTTGACGTTTTCAGTAAGGCTAGTATAAAATGTAGTTGTCACAAGTATAAATATACGCACTGTAACGCCGACAACCTGAGCTGTGAGGAGGGAAGTAAGTAAAAGAGGTGCATGGAACACGAGGAGAAAGAACGATGAGGTCATCGGATTGTCGGTATTTTTTTCTCACTCGTACAGTAGGTGTAGCGTTTTGAACTTTAGTGGATGCGAAGGGTTGTCGAGTGTGTATGGGTACACCCTCAGAAAAAAAGATAGAGTTTCGGAGTGTATCGACGCTGAATCTTCTTTTTCTTTGCTGCCTTAATTCATATACGCGTTCAACTGCGTAAGATAAATTTCGGGGATGATTATTTCTCTCCCCTCGCGTTCTCATTTTAATTTACTGCGGATAAAAACTCATGGGTCAATCATGAAATTATTTCTGTGCAATTGATAGTGCTTGATTCTTCTAATGTTCATTCATTAAATCGATAAAAAGAAACGTTGATGATTTTCAATACTTTGCATTCGTCTTGTACAAAAACATTTTATTCTTAAGTCACAACATTTGAAAATACTCCGAAAACACAAACAATTCAAATTTGTCAATGGAACGCATGAAAAAAGGGGCACAAAAGTTAATACCAAAGAGAAAAGCTTGAATTTTTGGGTAGGTATGTCCAAAGCTTTCGAGCACAGACATAATGATAATAAAAAAAGTATATATCTGCCATATACCTATCGAGCGCTGTTTACACATCAGGGGGGTGGACGAGGGGGTGACCGATACTGACCGTCACCGACCTTACTGTGCGCGTTCGCGGTCAGCATAGTAGAGGCGTATACATATATGATATATACTGCACTGCCGTGCACACCTCCTCTTCTCCTCTTTGCCTTTGCTTACACGTTACCCTATCTCTTTCCCACTCAACGCAAAAGCTATACGATCTCTCTTTTTGCCTCCTTCTAGCCTCCTACTCTTTTTTCCCTTCCTTCGATATTCCAACCCAGCACGTATACCTAAATATACCTATAGTCGGTCCCGACCGGCTGGAAAAGTCGCACGACGGCAGTGCCAGTAGCTCATATAGCGCGCCTCCTTCGACGTCGTCCTCTTTCTCAATCTACAACACAAACTATTCGGCACCGGCTAGTATCTTTCTCTCTTGCCTTTTTTGGGACACATCGTGTTCCTCTCTCAATACGTTTTTTGTACATTTACTTCGTCTCTCATTCCGATCGTATTAAGTATAATATACACCCATTATTATACTGTGAGAATTTTCAAAGCTGTGGCTGACCATTGATTCGTGTTGGTCTGATAATTTTTAAGTGCTCTGTGGTGGACGTATATTTTGAGTGGTGGTGCGTCTATAATGACGAGGCTGTGATATTTTTTCATTTTTTTTTTATTCGTTTAGTGATGACGTTTTTGACAAGCTAGTGCTACTTAAAAAAACCGATAAGATTGACAGTTTGGAGACACTTGATGCTTTTGACAGGTAATATTGAGTTTTAAGGATTTGAATGATATGTGATTTCTTTTGTCGGCAACAGTGGGAAAAACAGCTTTAAATAAAAATTTGAAATCGAATGTGCAAGCACTGAAAATTACCTTGCAGAGTGGGAAAGAAATGAAATCGATACTTAATACGCATAAATTCATAACTCTCGTAAAATTTAAAAGTAAGACCATACATTTATCCTACATTTCACGTACCTATGCACATGTATGGCGATCGTTTAACCGACATTTAAAACTCTCAAGGGTACGTAAGCTACATACATGTAGGTTTGTAATGCATGTACAAAGAAAAAGAAAGGAAGAAAGCAAGTTGCGTTTCGAAAGTGCACGTCCGTATATTTATAAACACCACGCATGGTGCGATCCGGTTTTTTGGTGGCAGCGAGTATATCTCCCGGTAAACGAAAAATCGTCGCCGAAAGCTAGATGCGGTTCAACAAACGAAAATAAAAAGCTTATGTCACGTGCTCGTAAAAATTTCATACTAGTATGGTCCGTAAATTACTTATACTTCCTGTTTTAATTTAGGCGATTCGTTAAGAATAAAAGCTCGTGCTGTTTATCGACGAGATATGAAAAAGTGCGCTAAACGTATCGAGTGTCTGTGCATGCGCGCCTCAGGTAAAGCAATGAAAAGCTCATTTAACGTACAATATAAACTTTTTAAATAATCAGCCAAATCAGTTATCAAAGATATCATTATCAATTGCACACTTTCCTAATATCTTGCACTGATAATCATCGCCGGGTTAATCAATGATGACATATTTAACTGTATACCTGTATACCCATATTTATTACTATCGACGCGTGAAATTTCAGTCCTTATTGCGAGTTTACGTATAGATTTTTAATACGTCCTACGTATATAATGCACTGTATTATATTATTACAAGAGAAGGAAAGAA